GCGACCAGCATGGATCCAGACCAGGCTACGTATCCACGCAGTCTGAAAAGGATCCATGCTGTTCCCTTACAAACCCTATAACAAGTAAAGAAACTGATAGCGACCAGCATGGATTCTGATCAGACTGCGCGGATGCGCAGGCTGGTCTGGATCCATGCTGGTCGCAAACCCATTATGTTGGTTTTGTCATGACGCGGCTCAAATGTTCCTTGTATCATCATAATTATATGTTTATTGTTCTGATTATTTTCAATAAATATCCCTCACGCCTATGTACTTTTTGATTATATTACTGTGCCAGTAAACTCAACAACAGTTCACTCAAAAGTCAAAATTAAATTTCTTTCCTAAAAAAGAAAATAGTACCATTTCTAAACTCATGAAATATCTAAATCTACCATATTAAAATTGCTTACTACTTAGACATGCAATTAATGCAGCATGCCTCCAGATTCATGCCAATTGTCAAGAAAATTTTAAAAATAAAAATGTTTCTTAAAATTAAAATATTTTGAAGTTACCTAAGAAAGTAATTTACAGATTGCAAACTGCACTTACAATCCATTCAAATTACCAAAATGAGGTCAAAATATACAAAAATAGCCATTACTGCATTAGTCACTCAGTAGAAATAAGGTGATAAATACTGCAAAATCAGTCATTACTCACAGATAATATGTAAATTATTACTTGAATCTTGGATTTCTTAAAATCTTTGTACATTTTTCTCAAGTCTGAATTTCTTGAAATATTTTTGCTTATCTAAAGGAACGGAGGCAGATTTAAAGTACATGTATAACTGACATAAAAAAACCATGACCCAAATTATCAACCATGTCATTTCACATGCATGAACTTATGTAAATCAGTCAGAATATTTCATAACTGTTTCATGTAATACTCAATAGTATTTCATGTTGATCAATTTAAAATTGGGACTTAATTTGATGTTAACGCAAATATTCAATATCATTTTAAAACAGCATGCAGTAAAATTAGGTTGTTTTGATAACCTTATGGTCATTCCTTAAAAGGTTTTTAATTTATATACATACATGTTGTATGTAAACTGAATACAAGAGGGCCATGATGGCCCTGAGGTCGCTCACCTGTATATAGCCCCCCCCCCCCCCGGCCCAATTTTTTTCCCAAGGGCTTTTATTTTTTTATTTGAACAGACTTGGTAGACACCCATAGGAAGTTGTTTCATGCAAAACATCTAAGTTCTAGCTCATTGGGTTTTTTAAAAGAAGATTTTTTAAGTTTTTACTATACACATATAGTTAAAAACAATGACACCCCTCGGGCAGGGCCAGTTTTGACCCCTGGGCTTTTATTTGAACAAACTTTGTAGATATTTACTTAAAGATGTTTCATGCTTAATATCTAAACTCTAGTTATTTGGGTTTTTTCAAAGAAGATTTTTAAGTTTTTGCTATGTATATAAGGAAAATCAATGACCCCCGGGGCGGGGCCAGTTTTGACCCCAGGGCTTTTATTTGAACAAACTTGGTAGACACCCATTCGAACATGTCTCATGCTAAATATCTAAACTCTAGCTATTTGGGTTCTTTAAAAGAAGATTTTATAAGTTTTTACTATATGCATATAAGGAATATCAATGACCCCCTGGGGCGGGGCCAATTTTGACCCCAGGGCTTTTATTTGAACAAACTTGGTAGACATTCACTAGAAGATGTTTCATGCCAAATATCTTAGCTCTAGCTCTTACAGTTCTTTAAAAGAAGATTTTTTAAGTTTTTACTTTATGCATATAGGGAAAATCAATTACCCCCTGGGGCGGGGCCAATTTGGACCCCAGGGCTTTTATTTGAAAAAACTTGGTAGACATTCACCAGAAGATGTTTCATGCCAAATATCTAAGCTCTAGCTCTTACAGTTCTTTAAAAGAAGATTTTTTAAGTTTTTACTATATGCATATAGGGAAAATCAATTACCCCCTGGGGCGGGGCCAATTTTGACCCCAGGGCTTTTATTTGAAAAAACTTGGTAGACATTCACCAGAAGATGTTTCATGCCAAATATCTAAGCTCTAGCTCTTACAGTTCTTTAAAAGAAGATTTTTTAAGTTTTTACTATATGCATATAGGGAAAATCAATGACCCCCTGGGGCGGGGCCAATTTTGACCCCAGGGCTTTTATTTGAACAAACTTGGTAGACATTTACTAGAAGATGTTTTATGCCAAATATCTAAGCTCTAGCTCTGACGGTTCTTTAAAAGAAGATTTTTTAAGTTTTTACTATATGCATATAGGGAAAATCAATTACCCCCCAGAGTGGGGCCAATTTTGACCCCAGGGCTTTTATTTGAACAAACTTGGTAGATATTCACTAGAAGATGTTTTATGCCAAATATCTAAGCTCTAGCTCTTTGGGTTCTTTAAAAGAAGATTTTTTAATTTTTTACTTTATGCATATAGGAAAAATCAATGACCCCCTGGGGCGGGGCCAATTTTGACCCCAGGGCTTTTATTTGAACAAACTTGGTAGACATTCACTAGAAGATGTTTCATGCTAAATATCTAAGCTCTAGCTCTTACGGTTCTTTAAAAGAAGATTTTTTAAGTGTTTACTATATGCATATAGGGAAAATCAATGACCCCCTGGGGCGGGGCCAATTTTGACCCCAGGGCTTTTATTTGAACAAACTTGGTAGACACTCACCAGAAGATGTTTCATGCCAAATATCTAAGCTCTAGCTCTTACAGTTCTTTAAAAGAAGATTTTTTAAGTTTTTACTATATGCATATAGGGAAAATCAATGACCCCCTGGGGCGGGGCCAATTTTGACCCCAGGGCTTTTATTTTGTTTTGTTTTTGTTTTGTTTTGGGTTTTACGTCACATCGACACAGTATAGGTCATATCGCGACGTTCCAGCTTTACTGGTGGAGGAAGACCTCAGGTGCCCTTCCGTGCATTATTTCAGGCACGAACGGGCACCTGAGTAGAACCACCGACGTTCCGTAAGCTAGCTGGATAGCTTCCTCACATGAAAGAATCCAAAGTCCCTGTCGGGATTCGAACCCACAGCGGTGAGGGGCAGGGCTTTTATTTGAACAAACTTGGTAGACATTTACTAGAAGATGTTTTATGCCAAATATCTAAGCTCTAGCTCTGACGGTTCTTTAAAAGAAGATTTTTTAAGTTTTTACTATATGCATATAGGGAAAATCAATTACCCCCCAGGGTGGGGCCAATTTTGACCCCAGGGCTTTTATTTGAACAAACTTGGTAGATATTCACAAGAAGATGTTTTATGCCAAATATCTAAGCTCTAGCCCTTTGGGTTCTTTAAAAGAAGATTTTTTAATTTTTTACTTTATGCATATAGGAAAAATCAATGACCCCCTGGGGCGGGGCCAATTTTGACCCCAGGGCTTTTATTTGAACAAACTTGGTAGACATTCACTAGAAGATGTTTCATGCCAAATATCTAAGCTCTAGCTCTTACAGTTCTTTAAAAGAAGATTTTTTAAGTGTTTACTATATGCATATAGGGAAAATCAATGACCCCTGGGGCGGGGCCAATTTTGACCCCAGGGCTTTTATTTGAACAAACTTGGTAGACACTCACTAGAAGATGTTCCATGCCAAATATCTTAGCTCTAGCTCTTACAGTTCTTTAAAAGAAGATTTTTTAAGTTTTTACTATATGCATATAGGGAAAATCAATGACCCCCCGGGGCGGGGCCAATTTTGACCCCAGGGCTTTTATTTGAACAAACTTGGTAGACACTCATTAGAAGATGTTTCATGCCAAATATCTAAGCTCTAACTCTTAGGGTTGTTTAAAAGAAGATATTTAAAGATTTTTCTTTCGGTTGCCATGGCAACCAGAGTTCTGCATGGAATTAAATTCTTTGAACAATTTTTAAAGGTGACCACCAAAGGAACATTCCTGTGAAGTTTGGATGAAATTGGCTCAGTGGTTTATGAGGAGATGTCTTTTAAAGCAAAAGTTTACGGACGGACGGACGGACGACGGACGGCCGGACGCCGGACGAAAAGCGATCACAAAAGCTCACCCTGTCACTTTGTGACAGGTGAGCTAAAAACGTTCTGGAACAAAATATTGTGCTGCTATTTATAGTATGTTAAGCGATGATTTCACACACGCTCCCTTTACTTTCAATTTAAAATACTGACAAATTTCTGTCATTCTCTCTATATTCCGTGGTAATTATAATCACAATATAAGTAATATTTTTACAATCCACACACAGGAAATATATAACTTCATACACTTTAAACTAACTTCACTTTTAATTCACAGAAAATACCTACAATGCAGTAATACATGTTTCCCATACTCTGATAGTGACTAGGTACATATGTTGTTTTTTGTTTTTGTTTTTTTTTAATTGGGTTTTACATCATACCGACACAGTATAGGTCATTTGGCGATGTACCAGCTTTACTGGTGGAGGAAGACCTCAGGTGCCCTTCCGTGCATTATTTCAGGCACGAACGGGCACCTGAGTAGAACCACTGACGTTCCGTAAGCTAGCTGGATAGGTACAGATGTGGTAATAAAATAAGTAAATTCTGTCATGTTTTGCTTTAAAGAAAGTGCCATTAAGACTGCGAATACCAACACATTTCTTTTCCTGATGATATTTTCATTTCTCAAGCGATACTGTTTTTCTTGTTTGCCTTTTTTTGTTTTTTGTTTGTTTTTGTTTGTTATATTTGTCTGCTCATCTGGAAGCTTGCCGCTTTAAAATATAATCATTATGCTTGCTTTTGTTTTTTTTGTACATTGCGCTAACACAGAATAGGTAAAATGGCGACTTTGCAGCTTTACCAGGAGCCTCTCTGGGCATCATTCTAGGCACGAATAGGCCCCGGATCGGGGTAGAACCGCAGACGTTCCATAAGCTAGCTGAATAGCTTCCTTGTGGGAAACAGAGATAATTCACTAAAATATGTATACCAAACAATACTAAAATACATGTACAGTCAAACTAGAGTACTAACCTTGTCAAGGTTATTGTAGAAATCTAAGCTACCCGCGCACAAATACCGTCCCAACAAGGTAGCGTGAGTTGTAAACACTGTTGCGACTTCAACTTTACGCATACGTAACAAAATCAACGCCACGCCTGCCAGCCACTCGTGACAGTGTAGCAATACAAATGGTCTTCCTTCAAGTTTGTTACGAAACTGAAATTTTTTTAAAAAAATGTTGGATTTTACAAAAAAATGAATACAAAAATTAATATGTCAACAAACTGAAAATAAGTGAAAATTTGTACAAATGTAAATCAAAACAATATAAAATATAGGTAGGTAAATTGCATTAAAAAATGACAATTAACAGGCATTGGTTTCTACGAACAGAATTTTCGATCAATATGAAAATTCAGCTGCAGACAAATTTTCGAACAGAATTATCAATCAATATGAAAATTCAGCTGCAGACAAATTTTGCAACAAAAAATTGATATTTTTCAATGTTACACTGACAAATCGTAAGTAACAGCTACTAAAGTAATATAATTATGGACTCCCCCTGTTTTGAATTTTGCACAGTCCATATTTATTGTGAAGGGGTGTAATATCAATATCAACATGCTATATTTAAGTAACCAACAGTAAAATGGTTGGGCTCACAATAGAAATCTACAGGTAAAGTCTATAAAGACATACAATGAGTTGTAAGAGACCTAAACATATACAATGAGTCGTAAGTGAATATCTTCAGTTTATGAATACAGAGATATAACTTGCATGCAAAACCTTTACCAGCAATCATCTACCTGTACTTATGGTAAATTCAATACAAAAATTATGGGTTTTGTATAGCGACAGGAATACTTTCAGAAATTCATGACAAAGTGTTGCGCAAATGCTTTAATTTTCTTTGTTTTTTATAACAATTTTAAAGATATACTATGCGCAAATTTCATATATATAGAGGATATTGAATGAGTGTAGTTTAATACTAAATTTATTAAACAAGTTGAATAAAATCATATTATGCGAGCCTCAGGCTCGAATAACATTGTTTTATTCAACGAGTTCAATAAATTTAGTATTGAATCTACACGAATATAATATTCTATTTATCACATATATAAAATAAGAACAGTAAACTGCTAAAATGAGTAATATTTCAATGACAATATTTCATAGTGTAACACTAACATAAGCGCGCTTTAACGCTATGTTTATATGTAGCGCAAATGACGTCACGTGGAAGTGTTATTACACTAGTGTAATATCGTTTTTTATTACACTCCTGCGCTGCAGTTTATGTGATTATAGAAATTATTGATAATTGCTACACAGTTCCTTTGTAATTATGAAATAAACATGTTTTGACCTCACACAAAATACATATGTTGTGTTTAATAGGTGATCACAATATGAATATATAGTGTCATTAAAAAGACAGGCAGTTTTTTTTTGAGAAAAGACTAACTTTACTTGACCTGTGCAATACATACATAGTATATTCATTTGTTTATCCAAATGAGAATATTCAGTTATAATTTCATAGACTTCAATAAATTTTTGCGATTAAAATATTTTAATCAAGGATGAGCATAGTATATCTTTAACCCATTTTTGACAGATCTCCGCAGTCAGTCCACTGAACTGGTTAACTTACCAATAATCATTAATTTGTCAGCAAGTATCTCACATGATTTTTGAATTTTCAATCAGCAGTCAGAGACAAATGACCAATAGACTCAATGTCTGACAACGACAAGAAAAGAAACAGCATGTTTCCCGCTGATCAAACCAGCGACCTCAAAATAAAAAATCTGATGCTCTCCCTTTTGAGCTTACATGTAGCAGACGTAATAAAGTGCTTAAAACCGTTCAAGTCTATACTTACACTAGTAACAAACCAGGCAGTAAGATTCCCTAATATAAGAGCATCATTCGACTCGGAGTCGTGTAGTGGAATTCCTATGTGACTTTTCTCCCAGAACTCGTGTTTAAATTCATCAAGCTTCCATGCTGCTGATCCTATATCAAACAAGACCACCTTCGGATAACCATCGATAAGCCATCTTCCAAAGTGAACCTGCATTTACAATTCGTTCATTTATATATCTTTAAGACAGAGGCAAGCACCAGAGTAGAGCCACCAACCTTCTAGCTGTTTAGCTGTTTTACACTGGAAAATTCAAAGTCTGTACAGGGATTTGAACAAACAAGGACAAATGATAAAAGGTCAGCTGCCATGACTTCTTCACACAGAGACTGTAAAGTTATAATTATCTAATAAACAATAAATTTGATTAATCTTTCAACAGTTATAAATAAATGAGCTTGAATCACTTTGATTACCTTTATTCCATGTGCTCTCATTTCATCAAGGACCTCCCTCATCACATGATGATGTGGTTCAAGCAATTCAACTTCAGTCCTCACGCATGACTCGTTGTATGGACCAATCAATGCAAACTGTTCTCCCATTTCCTCCATACTCACTGGAGCCTTGGACTTGATCACAGTATATATTCCTCCCACTGTATTGAACAGACATATATTTTGCACTTATAAAACAGAATGCAAACTTTTTTTTTGGTATTAATACCTTGAGTTTGGCACATTTATTGTTATATTTAGCTTGTAGGCTAGCCAAGCTGGCTTTTTTTGATAACTAACCAGTAATTGCCATCTTCATAGCAAGTTACCCACAGCTATTTGCTTGCCTAGTGGTCAAGGTGTCTGCCTATCAACCCAGGGATCATGGGTTTAAACCCTAATCTGATCACGACCATGTTTCTTCATATGACACTAGTACTGGTTTGTTCCTGGAAGTGGACGCGATAGTGATTAATACATATCGCAATCAAGCTGAAATATGATTTCCAAATCAGCTTAAAGAGACAAATGGCCGTTAGACTCAATGTCCTAGACCTTAGATTACATATATCATATATAAAAAAAATTATACTCTCTATGAACTATCAGAGTTAAAAGTTAAAATAAAACATAACAAGAGCTGTCGGTAGGACAGCAACGCTCGACTATTCTTAGTGCTTGATAGTAAAAAAAATGCTTGATACAGTTACCTCCTCCTGTTTACAGGTTGGGGTCATGATGGTGAACAAGTGTGCAAAGTTTCAAAGCCATATGTCAATGGACTTTGAAAATATTTGAACTATTACAAAAACTTTAACGTAAATTCTAAGTCCAAAAAGGGGCATAATTCTGTCAAAATGCTTGATAGAGTTACCTCCTCCTGTTTACAGGTTGGGGTCATGATGGTGAACAAGTGTGCAAAGTTTCAAAGCCATATGTCAATGGACTTTGAAAATATTTGAACTATTACAAAAACTTTAACGTAAATTCTAAGTCGAAAAAGGGGCATAATTCTGTCAAAATGCTTGATAGAGTTACCTCCTCTTGTCTACAGGTTGGGGTCATGATGGTGAACAAGTGTGCAAAGTTTCAAAACCATATGTCAATGGACTTTGAAAATATTTGAACTATTACAAAAACTTTAACGTAAATTCTAAGTCGAAAAAGGGGCATAATTCTGTCAAAATGCTTGATAGAGTTACCTCCTCCTGTTTACAGGTTGGGGTCATGATGTTGAACAAGTGTGCAAAGTTTCAAAGCCATATGTCAATGGACTTTGAAAATATTTGAACCATTACAAAAACTTTAACGTAAATTCTAAGTCGAAAAAGGGGCATAATTCTGTCAAAATGCTTGATACAGTTACCTCCTCTTGTCTACAGGTTGGGGTCATGATGGTGAACAAGTGTGCAAAGTTTCAAAGCCATATGTCAATGGACTTTGAAAATATTTGAACTATTACAAAAACTTTAACGTAAATTCTAAGTCGAAAAAGGGGCATAATTCTGTCAAAATGCTTGATAGAGTTACCTTCTCCTGTCTACAGGTTGGGGTCATGATGGTGAACAAGTGTGCAAAGTTTCAAAGCCATATGTCTATGGACTTTGAAAATATTTGAACTATTACAAAAACTTTAACATAAGTGGTTACGCCGACGCCGACGCTCGGGTGACTGCAATAGCTCTACTTATTCTTATCGAATAGTCGAGCTAAAAATAAAGCATTTGAAATTCCTAGTTGTATCCTTGCACAACACTCAAGTAACAGATATAAACAATCAGAAAGTAAATTTCATCCTATTCAATTCCCTGGTACCACAAATTAGACATAAGTATAATTTTTTTGTTGGTTTTTATGATTTACCAACACTGAACAGGTCATATGGTAACTTTCCAGATTTATTGGTGGAGGAATGTCTCAGGTACATGTACCCTTCGTGCATTATTTCCGGCACAAGCGAGTACCTGAGTAAACCAACTAATTAGACTCGTCAAAGAGACATGGAGATAATTTTGGACAGGCGATTCTTTTTTCAACGGTTTGGCAGTAGGAAAAAAAAAGTTTGTAAAATGGATCAAACCATTCACGCCAAACTAATTACCGGAGTAGAACCACAGACGTTCTGTAAGCTAGCTGGATAGCTTTCAAATATGAAGGAAATTAAAGAATCCAAAGTCCCTTGTTGGATTCGAACCTAGAGGGGCGAAGGGCAAGTGTTATAAAATAATGATCATGTGCACATATCTGCATTTCAGGTAAACAATTTAAGCCATTATCTGGATTTTTTTTTTCCTACTGTCAAACTAGATCTATTATGCCGTTGACCCGTATTTTTGGGGGTTTAAAGTTTTAAATTAAAGCCACCGTTTTTATATTAATAGTAAATGGAAGACACAAAACATCAACAGTAAGTAAAAACTATGACAAACAAAAAGGAACCGTTTAAAATACGAAAATAATAGAAGAATAGTTTCCATGTAAATAAGCATACAATTGACTTTAAACTGCCAAGCAATCAGGTAGTAAAATTCTTGATAGACTACAAAAAAATCAGGTAAAATTCTTGATAGACTACAAAAAAGTCTATTTGACACTCTTAATTGAATTTTAATTAAACATAGGTTAAATGTTGCAACAAACTTTTGTTGTGTATAATACAAAACAAAGCGTTCATTGCCATGAAACATGCAAGGTCGACAACTGTGCCAGATTGAGGACGAGAAAATTCAACACAAAAAATTGTCTGTTCTTTGTTATTAAATTAGGGGAAAATATTGCAAATTTACTATATTAAAGGAGCCTTCTTATGAATATTTATCTTTTTTATGTGTTTAATGTGTTTAGAACGCATTTCAACGGTAGTAATTAATAGAAATAAGGTTCGGCGAAAACTTGACTGCTTTTTGGAGAGTCTAATCAAGTGCACGAGCTATCATTCTCGACCGGAAATGACACCACGAAAATATGAGAACCCCCGAAAATATGAGAACAAGGCATACTGTCTTGATTTAAAATATTATTGTTATCTTAATTTACTTAAAATCTTTCTGCACATAAAAAGTTTAAGCATCAGCCGTACAATCATCTCAATGTCCACGAGATCTGACAGTTAAATTAGTAACACTAGGACTGGGTTGGCAAATCTGTAAATGATTATCAGATAACTTATTTTATCATGTAAGCTCTGTGAAAGATTGGAAATTTTTAGAAGTTTTTTTTTCTGTACAATGAATGTATCAATATGACGCTTGAATAACTTATGTTCAAAGTCAAATCTGTGACATAATTTGTTAACTAGTGTAGCTTTCAATGCATTATTTCATGAAAATGGCATCATTTAGAAGCATGCACGCTACCTTTATTGGCAACTTCCCATGCGCATTCGAAATGCCATCGATTTTGGGCAGCTGCTGTCGCCCCTCTGTCCATGCAATAATCATCTTGGTCCAAGTCGGCCTGCTTGTAAGAGCGAAAAAAACTACTGCTTCTTCGTCTAAATTGCGACATTCTGCATCACCTCTAAACTGTCAAACTAACCTACTAAATGTACATGTATCTTTTTCGGGTCAAGGTTAAAGGGAAATACTATTTTCCATTCGTGCCGTTCTACTCAATGGGGGGATACTAATCGACGGTCTCCGCAAAATCGACGGTCTTTGACGGTCTCCAAAGACCGTCGAAGACCGTCTATTGTAGGAGACCGTCGATTAGTAGGTTATCACACAAATCGACGGTCTCGCGATGAATTGATAAGAATGATTTAGAAATAATTAATAATAGGTCAATTAACATTTTTCTTTTACGACGATACTTTATTTATGTCAATATTTAAGGATATTAATGGGGAAAGAAATGATTAGATAAAAAAGGGAAAAATATAAAAAATATGGGGAAATAAGATATTGTTATGCAGCAAATTAGATAAACAAATTAACAATGAAATATATTGAAATATAAAAATGTTATTGAATTTATTAATAAATATCAAGGTCTTATATTTTTATTTAGATCTATATAATTATTGTTAGTAGTAGTTAGTAGTAGTTAGTAGTAGTAGTAGTAGTAGTATAAATATAAATTTGTGAGTTTATGCATATTTGCATATATTCTAAAGACCGTCGAAGACCGTCAGTGGGGAGAGACCGTCGATTTGTAGTTTATAGATAAAGACGGTCTCATGGTATAGTTTTATGTCTACAAAGGCCGTGGATTGTAGTAGACGGTTGATTAGCAGGTTACTATACAAATCGACTGTCTCGTGATTATACATTAATTTGATGGATATTACATAGTTATTAATTAATTTAGCCGGTCAATAAGCAAATTCTCTAAGATAATGATTTATTGATTTCAGTATTTTTTTTATAATTTGTAAAATAACAAATACGATTTAAAAATGAATAAGATAAAACATAATTAACATGCCATTATTTTATTTTATTATTTTTTTTTATTTTTTTTTTTTAAGACAATGAAATATATTGGAATATAAAAATGCTATTAAATTTATTAGAAAATATCAATGTCTAATATTTTTATTTATATCATAAGTAATAGTAGTAATTAGTAGCAGTAATATAATTTCGATGTTTTAGCTTAAAAAATACATACATAAATTTGTGAGTTTATGCACATTTGTATATATTCTAAAGACCGTCGAAGACCGTCAATGGTGAGAGACCGTCGATTTGTAGTTTATAGACCGTTGATTGTAGGAGACCGTCGATTAGTAGGTTACTATACGAATCGACGGTCTCGTGTTAATCTATGTTGCCAGCCAATAAGCATTTTTTCTAAGACGATAGTTTTTTTGTGTCAAACTTTTTTGATGATTTGTAAAAAAAGAAAGTAAGATATTCCTAAAAAAAGGATATAATACAATTAATATGATTTTTTGATGACTGTCAATTAATCGATAGATCATTGTTATTTTTCCAGATTTCCCCTTTTTGTATTTATGAGTGGTTTTTATTTGTATTTTTTTTTAATATCAACTTCATCGATAATATTATCATTTGTATAAGTAATAATAGTATAGTCAGAATAATTTAAACAGAAAAAATATTAATTTGTAAGTGTGCACACAATTGTCTAAGACCGTCGAAGACCGTCAACAGGGAGAGACCGTCAATTATAGTCTACAGTAGTTTGATAAATATTGACGGCCTCGTGGAGGCTTACTACACAAATCGACGGTCTCGTGATTATACATGAATTTAATGGATATTATATAGTTATTAATTAATTTAGCCGGTCAATAAGCAAAACTTTTTTTTTCTCTCTTTTTTTTCTTTTCATTTTTTTTTTAATTTTTTTTTATTTTCTTGTTTAAGGTCTCAGATTTTATGTTACATGAACTCCCTCTATATTATTATTATTAGTAGTAGTAGTAGTATAATCTCGATATTTTTAATTTAAAAATCTATAAAAATGTGTTAGTTTACGCACAATTGTATATATTCTAAAGACCCCTGAAGACCGTCAATTGAGAGAGACCGTCGATTAGTAGTATTATAAATATAGACGGTCTCATGGTATGGTTATGTCTCCAAAGACCGTTGATTGTAGGAGACCGTCGATTAGTATGTAATTATACGAATCGACGGTCTCGTGTTATTAATTTATGTAGACAGCCAATAAGCATTTTCTCTAAGACGATAGTTTATTTGTTTCAATTTTTTTGGTGATTTGTAAAAAAAGCAAATACGATATTCCTTTAAAAAAGGATATAATATAATTAATATGATTTTTTAATGACTGTCAATTAATTGATAGATCATTGTTATTTTTCCAGATTTTCCCCTTTTTGTATTTATGAGTGTTTTTTATTTGTATTTTTTTAATATTAACTTCATCGATAATATTATCATTTGTATAAGTAATAATAGTATAGTCAGAATAATTTAAACAGAAAAAATGTTAATTTGTAAGTTTGCACACAATTGTCTAAGACCGTCGAAGACCGTCAACAGGGAGACCGTCGATTATAGTCTACAGTAGTTTGATAAATATCGACGGTCTCTTGGAGACCGTCGATTAGTAGGTTACTACACAAATCGACGGTCTCGTGATTATACACGAATTTAATGGATATTATATAGTTATTAATTAAGTTAGCCGGTCAATAAGCAAAACATTGTTTTTTCTCTCTTTATTCTTTTCCTTTTTCTTTTTTTTTCTTGTTTAAGGTCTAAGATTTTATGTTACATGAACTCTCTCTATATTATTATTATAAGTAGTAGTATAATCTCGATATTTTTAATTTAAAAATCTATAAAAATGTGTTAGTTTACGCACAATTGTATATATTCTAAAGACTGTCAAAGACCGTCAATGGAGAGAGACCGTGGATTAGTAGTTTCATAAATATCGACGGTCTCGTGGTATGGTTATGTCTCCAAAGACCGTTGATTGTAGGAGACCGTCGATTAGTAGGTTACTATACGAATCGACGGTTTCGTGTTATTAATTTATGTTATTAAGTATCAAAATATTAATACCGTCGTTAAAATTGCCTATGCATGGTGAATTGATTTTCCCACATATTAAACAAGCAAGACTGCTCTATGTAGTCTTAATAGTAAATACCACACATTGACTTGATTGCAGTAACAAACTTTGTACTAATGTTTTCATTCAATAACTTTCTCCATAATAAAACCCAATGTCACGTTACTTTAGTAATTATTCTAGAATGTTATTTCAAATTAACAAAAATTTATATTATAGTGTTGAGGATAAACTGTTTTAAACATAATTAAATACACATGTTTACATAGCAGACATATCATCAGAAAAAAAATCTACACATAAACAGATGTCATGTGCATTGGCGTTTTAAGGCTTCAAAATTCAACACCTACTTGATATCATGCGCTTACAGTCGGGGATGGGGGGGGGGCGGTAGCCTGACCTAGTTCTGTTTGACATATGACATTAAAAGAGGGAAATTGACCAACAACAAAAAGAACATTTAAAATGAACTATGGTTCAGTTTATAAGTAAATAACAGGATATGTTTTCAGTGGATAGAAAGATGTTTGATGATACCGAAAACGGTTTTAAACGTAAAAAAGTTTTGTTATATAGTTTAACTGATAAGAACCAATTCTGTCTTTTGAGAAGACAGATTTATTAAACATTGTTTCACACTTTAAGACAACTTCTTTTCTTTTTCAAATCAACCAAAAATTAACAAGGTTTTATTACAGAAATTAAGGTCGTTACCCTTTATATAATTTAATGAAGTCTCCTCCTCGCATGTACAAATATAATACACAAAATCCATGTCCAATACAACCCAAATACAAACCACTTTATTTTAAATTGTCATAGATTACATAATATACATTTAACATGTTTCAGGCAATAACACGTGAAAGGAAAGCAACATAGATATTTAGTATGGGTAACATCTTGATCATAAATAGTCTAATTAATTATATGTATTTTTGTTTTAGTGTTTATGTATTCGAGGTGGAAAGCAGATTGTATTTATTTAAAAGTGGTAAAAAATAATCGTTTGAATCAGGGTCTTTCAAATAGAATTCTATTTGAAAGACCCTGTTTGAATCAATCTGTTGGAGCGGATTGTTAATTTGTAATAATGGCAAATAATCGAAAACTGATAAGAGATTTGTAACTTGAATATATTGTAGCCATCTATTTATTACACTAATTGTCGCAATCTCTGTGGGCGGAGTATTAGTTAATTATCGAGAATTAGCCAATCAATTAGCATGTGTGCGTTACCAAATTATATTACCCGTAACATTTTATTGGTCATTTGAAAGCTTTTTAGTAATATAGTAATATTTTAATTAATCTATTGCAAGACTGCTAGTCCTGCTTAAATTAATATTTACATTTAACGATCATTAAATTTTTTCCTGGCTTAGAAAGGGCAGAGTTTAATTTATGGCTTAAGTTTATGTCACATGAAATAAGTAACGTTGAATGTTTACTTTAAAAAATATATAAATATTCACAATTCAGCTGAAATTCAAAATATGCACTTTGCTTTTTTCATCGACAGTAAACTAGTGGAAGTACACATATCCAAACAACATCGCGTGAGTAATTACAATTCCGCACGATCAAACACATACGGAAATAGCCGAAGGTTGTGGTAATAATAAATATAACAAATATAAACTTACCACTTTTTAACAAATATATTAAATAATAATGCTTATAATACAAATGTCTGAGAGCGTATTGCCACTTTGAGGACTAACGTTTGAAATGTTCATGCTATGTATATGATTGAGGAAATAGCAGAGGTAACATATGTTACCAACTGCCCCGAAAACATATGCATGGCGATTGGCAGGCACGCTGGTATGGCACAAAACCGTGTTAGCTTTTGCACACTATACTTCAGAAATGAAAAAAATACTTCTTTAGAAAGGTCAAACATTAGTTTATCGTTTAAATAGTAGTTCTAGAGCATGCACAATGTTTGTAATCTGAAGAAAATAGCGCTAAATGTAAAATGTTATAAAAGTAGCAAAATGTAAAAAAGTTATATTTTGAATTCCATACAAAATACGAAATACTAAGACACTATAAATTCACTTACTGCCAAAAA